AAAGGAAGCTCTGTACACGTTGAGCAATCAGTCTCCATTTTCTCTTCTCCCAGGTTCTGGCAACTACTAATCTGTCTGTTCTATGGATTTTCCTCTACTAGCTATATTATATAAATGGAATCATATAGTATGTGACTTTTGTGTCACTTCACATAATGTTTTCAAGGTACATCCGTATTGTGGCTTGTGTCAGTACATCATTCATTTTTGTGGCTAAGTAATGTTTCTTCAAATGGATATACCACATTTTATTTACCCATTTATCAGTTAATGGACCTCCAGTTGCACTTTTTCACTGTTGCAACTAGTGCTATATGAACATTCATGTACAAGTTTTCTTAATACCTCTTTTTGGTTCTTTTGGATATATACCCAAAAGTGAAATTGCTCGGTTATATGGTAATTTGATATTTAACTTATTAAGGAATTAATTCTATATTTTTGAAGATCTTTGTTAACAACACATATAGTTCTAAGTAACTTAATTTCTATGAACAGGTTCATGCATAATATTCCATCATATGAATGACTGTGTTTTCTTTTCTTCTTTTTTTTTTTTTTTTGAGACAAAGTCTTGCTGTGATGCCCAGGCTGGAGTTCAGTGGAACAATCTCAGCCTACTCCAACCTTCACTTCTGAGTTCAGGCTATTCTTCTGCCTCAGCCTCCCAAGTAACTGGGATTACAGGAGCGTGCCACCATGCTCAGCTAATTTTGTTTGTTTGTTTGAAAAGGAATCTCACTCTCTTGCTCAGGCTAGAGTACAGTGGCGCAGTGTGAGCTCTCTGCAACCTCCACCTCCAGGTTCAAGTGATTCTCTCGTCTCAGCCTCCCAAATAGCTGGGATTACAGGTGTGCACCACCATGCCCGACTAATTTTTGTATTTTTAGTAGAGATGGGGTTTCATGTTCGTCAGGCTGGTCTCGAACTCCTGACCTCAGGTTGTCTGCCTGCCTCAGCGCCCCAAAGTGCTGGGATTATAGGCAGGAACTGCCACACCTAGCCCATTGTATTTTCTTTAACCAGTCTCCTTTGGATAAAAATTTAGGTGGTGGTTGTTGTTGTTGTTGTTGTTGTTGTTGTGTGTGTGTGTGTCTGTCTGTCTGTCTGTGTACGTGTATGATCACAAAATCTCTGGAGAACATTGTAGTGCAAAAATACTTGTGTATTTCTCCAAGTATAACTGGTGGGATAAAGTAGAATTACTTTATCAAAAGGTATGCAGGTGCAGTGGATTATGCTTGTAATCCCAGCACTTTGGGAGGCCAAGGCAGGCGGATTGAGTTCAGGAGTTCGAGACTAGCCTGGCCAACATGGCAAAACCCTGTCTCTACTGAAAATACAAAAATTAGGTGGTACATGGTGGCTCATGCCTATAATTTGCACTTTGGGAGGCAAAGGTGGGTGGATCGCCTGAGGTCAGGAGTTTGAGACCAGACTGGCCAACATGACAAAACTCTGTCTCTACTAAAAATAATAAAAATCAGCTGGGCATGGTGGTGGGCACCTATAATCCCAGTGACTTGGGAGGCTGAGGCAGGAGAATTACTTGAACCCTGGAAGTAGAGGTTGCAGTGAGCCAAGATTACGCCATTGCACTCTAGCCTGGGCAACAAGAGCAAAACTCTGTCTAAAAAAAATACAAAAATACAAAAATTAGCTGGGCATGGTGATTAGCACCTGTAATCCCAGCTACTTAGGAGGCTGAGGCAGGAGAATCACTTGAACCCAGGAGGCAGAGGTTGCAGTGAGCCGAGATCATGCCACTGTACCCCAGCCAGAGTGACAGAGTCACTGTCTCAAAAAAAAAAAAAAGGTATTTCTTTTTAAAATTTATAGTTTTTAAGGTCTCCAGATGAATAAAAATAAAAATAAAACTTATAGTATTAAATTGTCCCCAAAGAGGCTGCACCAGTTTATACTCTCACCAACAGTATGTGAACATTCCTGTTTCTTTTCTTTCATGTTCTCTTATTCTATATTAAATATAGCTAATGGAATAACTAGTTAATGACACTATTTTACTCAGGTCATTTCTTGGCTGAAGACATATTATGTTTATCTCTTACTCCTTAATAATAGCATACACATACACACACACATACACTCTCTCTCTCTCTCTCTCTCTCTCTCTCTCTTACTTCTTACTCCAATTTACAGATGAAGCAAGTAAGACTCAGATTTTTAGTTAGGCTACACAATTAGTCAGAGACTGAGTTGGAGTTTCAAATGTACACCTGTTACCAATTTCTTATGATTCATTCCAGAAATAGCCTTTGCATATACAAATATAAATGTTTATGTGTGCAGGTAGGTGTGTGTGTATAGAGAAAAAGAATTATAAAGTAAAAAATAAGTCATTGTTGACATAATGGAACAAAATAAACTGTGCTCAGGAGACAGTGGTTCTTAAGACATGTTTATGGGTTGATCACTTTTTTTTGCTTGAGACAGTCACTCTGCTGCCCAGAATGGAGTACAGTGGCATGATCTTAGCTCACTGCAACCTCTGCCTCCCAGGTTCAAGCATTGCTTGTGCCCCAGCCTCCCAAGTAGCTGAAATTACAGTTGTACGCCACCAAACTCGCTAATTTTTTTTTTTTTGAGACAGAGTTTGACTCTTGTCACACAGGCTGGAGTACAGTGGTGCAATCTCGGCTCACTGCAACCTCCGCCACCTGGGTTCAAGTGATTCTCCTGCTTCAGCCTCTCGAGTAGCTGGGATTAGGTGCCCACCACCATGCCTAGCTAATTTTTTTATTTTTAGTAGATATGGGGTTTCACCATGTTGCCTCCAACTCCTGAACTTAGGTTCCACCTGCCTCAGCCTCCTAAAGTACTGGGATTACAGGTATGAACCACACCTGCTGGCTTGATCGCTTGTGTCAGAATCACCTGAGGTGCTTATTAAAATTATAGATCTCGGCCAGGCATGGTGGCTAATGCCTGTAATCCCAGTACTTTGGGAGGCCAAGGCAGGCAGATCATATGGTCAAGAGTTCGAGAACAATCTGGCCAACATAGTGAAACGCACCTGTAATCCCAGCTACTTAGGAGGCTGAGGCTGGAGAATCGGGTGAACCTGGGAGGTTGAGGTTGCAGTGAGCAGAGATCATGCCATTGCACTCCAGCTTAGGTGACAGTTTGAGACTCCATCTCAAAACAAAAAACAGAAAACAAAAAAAAATCACTATGGATCTCTAGCTTCTTTCCCAGGCCTTCAGATTTTGAATTTCTAGAGGTCAAACCTGGGAATCTACATGTTAGACAGTTATCTCAAGTAGTTCTTATATTCATTAAAAGCAATATTTTTCAAATTGTGACTTGTGATGCAATAGTAGATTGTGAAATTAGGATAGTGGATTATGAGCAGCATTTTATAAAAGATGAGCTAGACAGAAGAGAAAATACCAGAGCATATATGGTAAAGGTGTTTTTGGTAGTGTTTTTGTGATAGTTTACATACATCCCTACACATATGATGTGTATTGGGTTGTGATATGAAATATTTCTCATAACACAAGTTATGAGCTGGGCACTGTGATATGTGCCTCTACTCCCAGCTACATCAGAGGCTGAGGCTGGAGGATCGTTTTAAGTCCATTAGTTCAAAACCAGCCTGGGCAGCATAGTGAGATCTTGTCTCTTAAAAAGAAGTTTGAAGTTCACTGTATTGAATTTGAGAATCATTGATTTTATCACGAGCTTTCCTCCCTCCCACTTAACTCCAGGTAAATACTCTCTCATACTTAGCTTTAACTTGTCTGTCTTACTTGCTCTTCGTAGTTCCTTACAGCCTGAGTTACCTTCTCCCTAGGAAACCTTCAAGAGTAACCCTTTTGGCAGATCACTCATTATTCTTCGTGCTCCTGGTATTGATGTCTGCAATTTGTATTGTATCATTTTTTTTTTTTATCTTACTGTGAAATTTTATCAATAGACCTACTGTTTATTCTGTAGACAATCCTATCTAAAGATAGTGATAGGCATAAGATACCAAGTTCATGGCCTTAGTTTACCACATAGAATAAATCTTGGAAAGTCTCAGCATTCTTTTTTTTTTTTTACACAGAGTTTTGCTGTGGCACCCAGGCTGTAGTTCTGTGGGACAGTCTTGGCTCTCTGCTGACAGGTGATATGCCCACCTCGGCCTCCCAGAGTGCTGGGATTAAGGTGTAAGCCACTGCGTCCAGCCTCAGCATTCTTCGTAGAACTCCAAAACCAGCTCACTGCCACAGTAATGATTAAAACATGCACCTAAACTGACGAGTGATTTCCTACCTTATTTAAATATGAATATCCTCATTTAACATTTTTTAAATCTGCACGTTTCACCATAAAAAAATCCCTTCTATTCATTGACGAAAACATGCCCAAAGCTACTATTAATTCATTCATTGGGGGTTTTCCCCTCCAAAAGAAGATAGGATTTTTGTGGGTTTTTTTGTTTTTGTTTTTGAGATGGGGTCTCATTCTGTCACCCAGGCTGGAGTGCAGTGGCGAGATCTTAGCTCACTGCAACCTCTGCCTCCTGGATTCAAGGGATTTTCCTGCTTCAGCCTACCTAGTAGCTGGGACTACAGGCATGCGCCACCATGCCTGACCATTATTTTTATTCTTATTTTTATTTTTTGAGACAGTCTCGCTCTGTTGCCCAGGCTGGAGTGTAATAGCGTTGATCTTGGCTCACTGCCGCCACCACCTCCACCTCCCGGGTTCAAGCAATGCAGTTCTCCTGCCTTGGCCTCCTGAGTAGCTAGGATTACAGGTGTGCACCACCACACCTGGCTAATTTTCGTATTTAGTAGAGATGGGGTTTTACCAAGTTGTCCAGCCTGGTCTCAAACTCCTGGCCTCAAGTGATCCACCTGCCTTGGCCTCCCAAAGTATTGGGATTACAGATGTGAGCCACCATACCAGGCCAAATTTTTGTATTTTTAGTAGAGATGGGGTTTCACCATGTTTTTTTTTTTTTTTTTTTTTTTTTTTTTTTTTTTTAGAATAACAAAAAATATTTTACTAAAACATAAGATTTACAGAAGTTTCCAGACAAGCCATACAAAATGGTCACAAGCTTTTTTTTGAAGGGGCGAATCTACACTTGACAGCAAAGTCACGATGTTATTAGTGAGGGCTGTGATGTTTGTTTAATGTTCCCATTTTGGTTCAAACAATCAAGCTTGTCCATCTACAGCGTCTAAATAAAGTTAGACTTGGCTAGAGAGCATATTCTAAATAACTGGTTAGCTGCTTTTAACCAATGCAATTAGATCACCATAAAAGGGGGAAAGGAGCCCATAAAATTAAAATAAAACTACCTCCCCCCTCAAAAAAATAAAGAAAAACACCCACACCCCTGCAGCTAACCTGACAACTACCTTCATTCACAGTGCTTTATACTTAAACCAGGATGGGGGAAATGAGTAAAAGCAGGGAGGGGCTGCTGCTTTTAAACGTTTCACAACAATCCAGATGATACTTCTAGCCTCTGCTCATGCTTTACGACAGTGAATCTGGACAAGACATAGATTTGCTAATGTGCATTTAATCACCAAAGGACTGAAGATGTCTGGGCTTTTTTATTCTGTAATGTTTCTAAGACTGTGTCCATTAAATGCAAACAAAAAGGAAGAAGTCTTGGCAGAACAGGAGAAGTGATGCACACTTGATGATCGGATCAGTTTAAATATTATTCATGGCATATAGCCTAGTCCATGCTCTAGCTGTTTCTATGGCTTGGGCTTCGTTGGTCTTCCACTGCTCCGCTACATCATTTGCTAATGGATCATCTGGATTAGGAGCACTTAACAAGGCCTGGATCGATAGCAGAACTGTGCGGATCTGCAGTGCTGGGGACCACTTATCTTTCAAAATATCTAAACATATTCTTCCCAACTTGTCTACATTAGGATGATAAATTTTGGTCATGAAACGTACTTTAGGGGCTGCCATTGGGTATTCTTCTGGAAGGAATAGTTCAAGTTTAAAAGTCCCTCCCTCAAAGGGGGAATCCTGAGGGCCAGCAATGACCACATGAAAATAACGGGCGTTGCTCTCATCTGGTTCTGCTTTGATGCCAGGAACTGGTTCTGCCAGCAAACGCTGGGTTTCTTTGATGATCCTGCGGGGCAGCCCGGCCATCTTGTCAGAACCCGAGTTCGGCCTCTCGGGGTTTCACCATGTTGACCAGGCTGGTTTGAACTCCTGACCTCAAGTGATTCACCCGCCTTGGCCTCCCAAAGTGCTGGGATTACAGGTGCGCCACCACACCTCAGACTTTAGGAAGATTTTTAATAGCTACATCTTCATCTTTTTTTTTTTTTTTTGAGACGGAGTTCGCTCTTGTTACCCAGGCTGGAGTGCAATGGCGTGATCTCAGCTCACCGCAACCTCCGCCTCCTGGGTTCAGGCAATTCTCCTGCCTCAGCCTCCTGAGTAGCTGGGATTACAGGCACACGCCACCATGCCCAGCTAATTTTTTGTATTTTTGGTAGAGACGGGTTTTCACCATGTTGACCAGGATGGTCTCGATCTCTTGACCTCATGATCCACCCGCCTTGGCCTCCCAAAGTGCTGGGATTACAGGCTTGAGCCACCGTGCCCAGCCCAATAGCTACATCTTAGCACAGTTTTCTAGATTAAGAGTCATTATCATTAGTATGAGAGAACACACATTTCTAAAATTTTAGATCATATTAAAAAATAATTTGAAAAGTATAATAATTTTTAGTACTATTAGAATGGTATAATGATATACCAGGGAAATGAAAATATGTGTAGTGTCTTCAGTATATTCCTACTGATAGAGTAGCTCAAATATTTCAAAGCTCTCTCCAGTATTTATGTATCATTATTTGATACAGAGTTTCCTGGTCTTTCAGGATTTTAAATAAATTCACCAGTGTTTTAAAATGAGTTCCTATTTCATTCATCACGTTAGCCTCATAATCTGAGAACAGTAGTATATTAGAGCATGAAGTATTATTTACTGGGTCTTTTGACATAATTTGATAGTCCCTTAGTATAACTGTGACCAGCCTTTGGTTTTTGTATGCTGGGAATACTGTGGACCCCTTGGTGGTGACTGAGCAACCCCAAGCTTCTGGAAAAATTGGCGAAACCCAACTATCTGATATAATAAGAAGAAATTGTTGTTGGTTTTTAACCTGTAAATTCTCTTAGAATTTGGTTTCCCCAAAATGAGTTATTTGCTTTTGATATTTGTTACTGTATCGATTATATTTGAGAAAATGAAGAATAATGTGAAAAGCTGAGCTGTAACTTGTAACTTTGGCTCTGCTGAGCTGTTCTTGTAAAAGCAGGAACTCTGTGTAAGAAACAAACCACTTAGTCTGACTGCTGGAGAGAGATGACAGCACGTAATAAGGTTCTCGTTGCAGAGAGCCTATAAACAGACATGAAATGGAGAGGTTTATTACCCAGATTCCTTTCCCAGGAAAGGCACATTGTTTATGGCCCTGGAAAGGGAATGCGACCCTTATGGAGAGCCTATAAACGGACACCTTAGGGGTGTCTCTCATGAGGAAAAACCTCTGTGGTGGAGATAAGGGTGTAAAAGTCTTCTCCCACTGCTCCTCCAGGCCTGCATGGAGGCCGCCTCCTCTTGAGTTCTGTGGTCAGGCTGGTTGTCTTGTGTCAGATCCTGTTCCCCCTGCAGCTGTGAGCCCAGTGCTTTTCTTGCTGATGAGTATAAGTTTATGTTTAACCTCTATTCTTGCTAAGGTTTATGGTTTCTATGCTGACATTGTGATCTTTGTGTACCAGTTTTGCAAATATATTCTTTTCGTATGATCATCCCTACAGTGTTGTGTAACCTCACTCACCCTCCCCTGTGGAAAGAGCCTAATACTCAGGTTTTCAGGGAAATTTTAGACATCCATGGAGTGTCATTATGTGGTGTCTCCCCTGGGCCAAGCTTTAAGGAAAACTGTCTTTTTTTTCTTTTTCACTGACCACTTGATCACTTTGAGAGATCTTGAATCCACATTGATATGTTGGGAGCTGATCTTCCAATAGTTGTAGACCTTGGCTTAGCAGGAAGGATATGGTGTTTTCTGGGCTACCTGTAGAATTGGGAAAGAGGCGAGAGGCTTGTGTCCTGGTAACACAGATGCTGAGTTCTTGGAAGGAAACTTACCATTATGCTAATATGTAAGTGGGACAGCTGATATTTCAACCAGGCAGTCTCATTCTGAAGCTCTCCTGACCAACCCTTGTACTACTGTATTGTGTATAGAATAGGGACAATATTGTGTTCACTTTTGAGTTTGTAGGGCCTAACACATTACTTGTGACATAACAGGACCTTAGTAGGGGTTTGTTGAATTCATTATTCTCAAATGAACTTTTATCCTTGTAATTTATAGCTTTATATAATCATGCTTAAAGTTCCTTCTAATTCTCTTTGTAACTGTATAATCTTCTTTCATTATTAAATCATCAACTTGTAAGGGAAGACTTGAAGAGTCAAACCTGGCTGTGCATCAGAATCATCTGGGAGTTTGCATTCCTGAAAGCTATTTCCCATTTCCCCTTACATATTTAAGTAAAATCTTTAGAACATGGGCTAATCTGCATTTTTATTAAGCTTCCCAGGTTATGCTTAGGTACCTAGCCTAGCATTTAAGAACTGCTGCAAGGGATTGATAGAAATGGAAGACTCTACTTGGTCAGAGCAGCTTAAAGTTTAGATAAAAAGACACATGCAATATGTAAACAATCATTCATGACAAGAGAGTAAGGAGACATTATATGATTAATGCCAAGAGAGTGGTCCAGACAGTTGAGGACTCAAAGTTGGGTGGAAACAGAGATTGCTTTTGGCTTATTAGGAATGAGATAGTTGCTGGTTCTTTTGGGACTGGGGAGATTCGGACTGGCAGAAAGCTGAGGGAAATGTACCAATTGCTATGCGACTAGATCTTGGAGATGGAAAGATGAATAAGACACAAATAATCCCTGTTCTCCCAGATCTCATAGTATGTTTGACATAGTTAAGCAGATGTTTGTCAAACGTTAAATGCAGTGAGAATTTGAGCAAAAGCCAATATCAGAAAAATTAGGTAAATTTGGTAAAATTGATATGTTGGGAGCTGGTCAAATGAATGAATATAGACCAGGGAATGAATATAGACCAGTTCATCCTGAATCACAAGTTTTTGTAGGAGAATTTAAAGAAATACTGAGCTGGGTGCTGTGGCATACACCTATAGTCCCTGCTACTTGGCAGGCTGAGGTTGGAGGATTGTTTGAACCCAGATCCAGCCTGGGCAGCGTAGCAAGCCCCATGTCTAAGAGAAAACTTTAAAAGAAAAGAAATACTGGTTTTTAAACTCAAAGGAGGCCGGGCACAGTGGCTCATGCGTGTAATCCCTGCACTTTGGGAAATTGAGGCAGGTGGATCACCTGAGGTCAGGAGTTGGAGACCAGCCTGGCCAACATGGTAAAGCCCTGTCTCTACTAAAAATACAAAAATTAGCTGGGCATGGTGGCAGTCACCTGTAATTCCAGCTACTCAGGAGGCTGAGGCAGGAGAATCACTTGAACCTGGGAGGCGGAGGTTGCAGTGAGCCAAGATCGCGCCATTGCCCTCCAGCCTGGGCAACAAGAGCAAAACTCTGTCTCAAATAAATAAATAAATAAATAATAAACTCAGAAGAATTTATTAAAAGGCCTGAGAGCCTAATGGGAAAATCTTTTGGAGTAGGAAGCTTTTCTTGTACTTTTGAAATCATATTAGGGGCCAGGCACAGTGGCTCATGCCTATAATCCCAGCACTTGGGAGGCCAAAGCAGGCGGATCACCTGAGATCAGCAGTTTGAGACCATCCTGGCCAACATGGTGAAACCCATCTTTGCTAAAAATCCAAAAATTAGCTGGGTGCGGTGGTGGGTGCCTCTAATTCCGGCTACTATGGAGGCTGAGGCAGGAGAATCGCTTGAACCTGGGAGGCATAGGTTGCAGTTAACCAAGATTGCACACCACTGCACTCCAGCCTGGGCAGCAAGTGAGATCCTGTGTCAAAAAAAAAAAAGAGAGAGAAAGAAAATCATATTAGACCAGCACTACTATGTTTACTCCAAAATCAATCTTGAAGATGAGGGCATTTCTGTCATTGAAAGTAGAGGAAGCTAAAGGAACAAAGAAAAGAAATAATCATGATAGCCTGGGGCCAGATTGTAGAGTTACGAATTGAACTGTCCACTGATATTTCATAATATGGACAGGCCACCTAACCTCTCCAGGTAATAGTTTCCTCATCTTCATGAGGGTGTAGGACTAAGTTTCTAAATGTAGCATAGTGTTTAATAGCACTTTGAAGTCAGACTGCATGGACTTAAGCTCTGGCTCTACTTACCAGTTCTGTGACTTTGAGCAAGTCATTTAACTTCTCTGTGCCTCAGATTTCTCATTTGTAAAATATTCCATTGTGTGTTGTTGATTAGATTAAGTAAATAAATATATGCAAAACTGTTAGACACATATAGAATTAACTATATCCCTTCCAGTTCTAATGTCTTCCAATTCTTGAGGTTTTGACTTATCACCAGGTATCCACTGTGAACCCTACAACATAGGAATTACTTAAGAGGACTCATGAAGAACCATAATTAAAATCTAGGACTTAGTGTTTAAGTCTACCATCACTACAACTGTGTCAGAATAGGAAGTAAAATTGGATAATGCATCTCCCAGTGGACACATTGCACAAGTGTTTCCTTCTGAAACTTGTTCAGAAAGATGGCCTCACCCATGTGCAGTGGCTCACCCCTGTAATCCCAGCACTTTGGGAGTGATGAGGTAGGCAGATCACATGAGTTTGGGAGTTCGAGATCAGCTTGACCAACATGGATAAACTTCATCTCTATTAAAAATACAAAATTAGCCGGCCATGGTGGCACATGCCTGTAACCCCAACTACTTGGAAGGCTGAGGCAGGAGAATCGCTTGAACCCAGGAGGTGGAGATTGCAGTGAGCCGAAATCATGCCATTGCACTTCAGCCTGGGCAATAAGAGAAAAAAAATAAAAATAAAAATAAAAAATTTTTCAAAAAAAGATGGCCTTAAAGGCTAATTAAGAATATAAACCATGGAGTCTCCTGTTTCCCTGGGGGGCTAATACTCAAATATTCATTTGTAAATGTTGACTGG